GAGACTGGTCCTCAGGAGAGCCCCTGGTGGGATGATGAGGTGACAGGATCCCAGGGATTCTGAGGCCAGAGACACAGAGAGTGAGATGCAGTGAGAGCTGGAGACTCAGGGAGAGAGAAGGGTCTTCACATCGCTCATCTGAGGCTACTTCTCCCCTGTCAGGAATCAACCGAAATGTCACCTCCAAGGGTGACCTTCACTGAAGACACAGCTCAGAACAGTCCTGCCTCCTCCTTATCTATTAAATTCTCCTTCTCTCTTTGTATATACGCACACGTGCACATATCTACAGTTACCTTACATATATCTAGAATTTTACTTCTATTATATATTTATATGCATATGCATACATATATATTATAAGTATAAACATAAATATATATAATCCTCATTTAAAAATATTTATCCAACTAACTAATGTATTTCATCTGATGTGGGTTTATATGTTTTCTGTTGGTCTACTCAACCACATTCACACTCCAGAAAATCAGAAACACTGTCTTAATGAATCACTGACTTAACACTACCATTTGTAAGAAATATGCATAGATATATGTGTGTGTTTATCTGTGTAAATGTGTATATGTTTGTATGTGTATATATGTAAAAATATACGACTAACCCCATATCCTTGGATCTTGAGTCCTCAGCTGTTGAATAAGTGGATACTCTCATCTCCAAGGGATTCAGCTTATGTGGTCCTGTATCCCAGATAGAACAGAGAACACACAAGAGCTCCATTACTTCTGAATTGGAGAGAAAATTGTTCTGACCTCTTGTGGCACTGCCAAAGTGTGTTGCGCTGAGACTCAGAAATGAGATCTGAATTCACACAACACAGGGAGTCCGGAGAATCCAAGGAGTCCAGATGGAAACTGGCTTCAGCTGAGAAGGGGTTCATTAAGGAAGTACATAAAACTTATGTTGTGGGAAGTGAGAGGATATCAGAACTGAGAACACACTGAAAGGTTGGACTCAGGTCTCCTCACTCACACCCTCATTTTATGATTCTCAGAAGCAGCTGACAGCACGAGCCCATCACACAACAAGTCAGACCCCAAGAGTGGTGAGCAGGAGAAATTCTCATCACGGGTTTGGCACAAAATGTTGTGTCCTATCAAGAGGAGGTAGGTGCTCTGGGGGCACATCCAGGGATCCTGGGGTGATTTTGGTCTGCCCTGACCTCTTTGGTCTCTTTCACCACAATGCCTACCCTCACATCCCCAAGACTACACAGTGGAGAATCTCATCCAGATGGACGTGACTGACTTGATCCTGGTAGTCTTTGGGACTCTGCCATCTCAGGCTCCACACATCCAGAGGACCATAGATGCAGCCAGGAGATAAACACAAGAAACAACAAACCCACTGCTCAGTGAGGTAGAACCTTGAAAATGGATCTTATGGACCCAGGAGGTTCTGAAAGAAAATCTGCATCATATGTTGGTTGAACTCGCTGCTGAGAATATTGAGATAGTAACATGGTTTGGGTGCAGGAAAATGTCTGGGTGTTCCCAGTCAAGATTCTTTCTCTACTAAACCATGGTGTTCCCCACCCCCCACCATTGTTGAATCTCCTTTACTCCCCTCTTTCTTTACTCACCCCTATGACATGAGGGTATATCCTTCAATATATACCTGAGGGTATATATATGAGGGTTTCTATCCACACTATACATACCTTCATGCTCTGGACCACTTTTTTTTTTTGTGAGAAAGATCAGCCCTGAGCTAACATCCATGCCAATCCTCCTCCTTTTTTCCCCCCAAAGCCCCAGTAGATAGTTGTATGTCATAGTTGCACATCTTTCTAGTTGCTGTATGTGGGACGCGGCCTCATCATGGCCAGAGAAGCAGTGCGTCGGTGCGCGCCCGGGATCGAACCCGGGCCGCCAGTAGCGGAGCGCATGCACTTAACTGCTAAGCCATGGGGCCGGCCCCTGGACCACTTTTGATAAACAGAATGTGGTATCTCCATATCATTGGACTTTTATTCAACCATAAAAGGAAAGAAGTACTGATACACACTACAGTGTGGGTGAATATCAAAATTATGAAACTAAGTAAAAGAAGCCAGACACATTTTGTAGAATTCCATTTATAAGAAACAGACAGAAGAAGAAAACCCATAGAGACAGAAATCAGATTTGTGTTTGTCAGAGGCTGAGCTGGAGGAGGGAGTGGAGACTTACTGCTTCATGTTTCTTTTGGGGTGATGTAAATCTCTTGGAACTAGACGGAAGTGGTGGTTGCAACATTGTGAACTTTCTAAATTTCAGTGAATTATGTAATTTAACAAGGTCAATAATGTGTTATGTGGATTTTACATCAATAAAAGGAAATGCAAGTAAAAAGAACACAGTTCCTTGTAGGTCCCTTATATCTAGAGAAGTTTCCCCATGTCCCTGCAGAGTTTTATCTGTGGTAGGATCCTCACCAGAAAAGAACTGCCCTAAGTGCCACAGAGCTTAGAGATGAACACACTGATGAATTTTCACCTTCGCTCTTGATCTGGTAGAGTATGGAATCCAGGATGATCATTCCTGCATCCTTTAAGTCTGTGGTCATCTGCAAGTTGACCAAGGATGTGGTTTGATTCAGCTTTATATTGTTGGTTGATTAGGAGATCAGATTTTGGTGCTTCCAAGTAGCCCTTCCTACCACAAGTCTCTTACAGCGCACGTCTTAATCAGGCATAGAAATGACACCAGACTGAGATTCTTCTATTCTCAGGCACTACTGACCCCATAACAACTCTGAGAGGTGGGGTTGTGATCAATTTCCTACAATGAAGAAAATGGGAGTGGACATGTTACCTGCTCGAAGTAGATGGTCAGTAAGTGTTCCCTCTTGTCGTAAATTAAAACCTATGAATTGTCTTTAATAGTGCATTTTCCCAAAGCATGGAGACAGAATCCACGGTATTAGATGAAGAGTCATGATCTGGGGGACAAGAGGTGGTGAGGAGGCAGAAATGACTCAGAGGTTTTGATGGGGAGTGATGAAGAGAAGGTGCTGCTGCTTATGGAAACAAGGAATTCAGAGAGAGGAAGAGCTTGGGAGAAACAAAACCACAGACCCAGGACAGGTGGGAGGTGGTGGTTCCCACTATGAGTCATTTGACAGTGTTATAAATATCTCCCCACGCCTCCTTCTCCTCTTGGGGTCGTCTATATTGTGATAGACCCATTGGTTCCACCAGTCAACTAAAGCAGAGTGTGAAGGATCCTTCAATTCTTCACTCTCTTCTACCTCACATACAATGAACAAATCCATAGTTCTGCCCATGATCTCTTCTTTCCGTGACCCTGATCCATCACCACAGTCAAGCTCAGTTGACAACTCAAGACCTCTTGTTGGTGCCACCCCATCAGCCTCCTTCCTGCCCCTAACCCCAGGCCCTCACTCCCTGATGAAGTGTTTTGTTCTCGTTGCCCCAAACTTATCTGTCACAGACCCTACCCTGCACAAAACCCTTCCACAGGTCTCCTTCTTCCTTCAAATAAATTCCAGCTCTCTCCACTTGACAATTCATGGGGTTGATGATCTGGCTTAGCTAAAGTCTCCAGCCCCAGTAAAGCCAGCTCCTCCTTACAAACCAAACTCCATACAATTGACCACTTCCCCTCCCCAGACACACACAACCTGAGTAATTACCACATTTGTACCTTCTCATAGGTGGTTCCCTGAGCTGATTTCAACACAGTAGACTCCTCTCCAAACCTCCTAACCATGATAATGACAAAATACTCTTCCTGCCTCATCCCATTCAACTGTGAATGTATTTTTTTTTTTTGGTCTGCATTTTCTTTTTTGTTGTTGTTGTGGGATTTATGTAAGGGTTACATGAGAAACCCTCATAAACCACTTAGATTACTGATTGCTCATCATCTTGGAGTTGGATTAATGATGGAGTTTTATCAGTGTTTACATCAACACAGTCCTCCTAAAGAACAGTCCCTACAGAATGGTGCTCTTCTCAAAACATCAATCTGTTCATACATTCCTTTACTGGAAATTTTTCTGTTGTCTGAAAGATAAAATCCAGAAATTCTCACATGCTGCACAAGACCCTGTGTGACCGGGGTTCAGTGTTACCTGATTCCTCACAATTCTTAGACTAGTTCACGCTCTTCCTGGTTGAGGATGCTGGGCCTTCACCACACTTGTACTGACCCTACCTTGTCTCAGTCTCTCCTTTTCCAGAAAGTTCCCACACTCCCATCACCAAGGTTGCCAGACTTCCACATGTTATTGAGGCTGTCTGTATCCTGTTTGTCTTTTTCTCTACAACTTACGGAAACTACAGCCAAATGATTCATTGTCTAAATATCTGTGTTGTCTGTTGTCACTAATCAGAGCTCCATGAGTCCAGAAGAGGAATTGGTCAGCTTCACAAATGAATCTCATGTCTGGACAGGGTAAGTGCTCAATCAACACTGGTTGATGCCCAGATGGTGGAAGGAAGCAAGAATATTTGCATTTACAGAGTCTCAGGAAAGGGAAGTGATTTACCTCAGGTCACCAAGTTTCTGTAAAAGGCAGAGTCAGAAATGGAACTGAAATGGGCTGGCTCCTAGGCCCTGCGCTGTGTTCTCTACCCTCATGTTCTGGGACAAGTGTCACTCTCTGGATTTGGGTTTGACATGAGCCATGGTGGCAGTGTGTGGGGGGTCTGGCAAGTCCAGATCTGGTCTGGAAGATCCCTGAAGCCTGCTGGTCCTCAATCCTATCCTTCAGGGAGAGTAGAGTGAGGCCCTGGGAGGGGCTGTTCCCCTTCCTATGAGGCCTCTAATGAGGAACCGGTGACACGTCACACAGACTCTGTCACACTGCCTGCATCTGTCTGTCCTGCTGGGCTCTGTGGAATTTATAAGTCACCGGTGCTGCTGGGGATCATGGGAGGCAGTGCCAGGACACCTACTCTCACTGCTCTTCTCTGCCTTGGTGAGTTTTGGAGAAACAAGGTCAGCCCCAGATCTGACCCCAGTGCTCAGGGGCCCAGACCAGACCTGGAGCTTCTGTGTGGGTGGGGGACACATTCTCACAGGGAACTCTCTTCCAGGGCTGTGTCATGGCCCATGGGACCAGGTACAGACAGGTGAGTTCCCATCCAGACCTCCTCCTTCAGCCCAAAGAACCCCATGAGCAGCTGGAAGGATCCCAGAGGGTCTGGGCTGATGGTGACCAGTCTGGGAGGCACCTTGAGAGACAGCTGGGGAAACTGAAGGGAGAAGGGATCCCTGGACACTTCAGGTCTGATTCCTTTCCAGGAGTGCCTCCCAAACCCTCCATCTGGGCTGACCCAGGACCCATGGTCACCATCGGGAGCCCTGTGACCATCTGGTGTCAGGGGACTGTGCAAGCTGATGTCTACAGTCTGTACAAAGATAAGGTCTCCAAACCCTTGGACATGGAGGTCCCACAGGACTCCAGCAACAAGACCAGTTTCTCCATCGAATCTATGAGCTCACACACTGCAGGGCTGTATCAGTGTGCATATAACACCAGCTGGAACGGCTGGTCAGAGCGCAGTGACCCCCTGCCCCTGGTGGTGACAGGTAAGGGGGAGGAGTCTGGTCCCCTCCCCACTGTGGGCTCCTCCTCACAGACAGATGGGAACGGAGTGTGTGCTCAGGGGACCTCAGCTCTCACAGTCCACACCTGGGGTATGTGGGCTGATGGTCCCCCCTTTAAAAGGCTCCCTCCTTCTTCCTCAGGAGAGTTCAGTGCACCATCCCTCTCAGCCCACCCAGGCCCTGTGGTGGCATCAGGAGGAAAAATGTCCCTCTCCTGTAGCTCAGAGTTCACATTGAACACTTTCCATCTGCTGAAGGAGGGAGGAGCTGACCGGCGCAGACAAATGGAATCGAGGAGCTTTCGTGGGAGGTGGCAAGCTGTCTTCCCTGTGGGCCCCATGAACACCTCCCACGGGGGCACCTACAGATGCTATGGTTCTTCCAGCTCCTCCCCCTATGTGTGGTCACACCCCAGTGACCCTCTGCATCTCGTGGTGACAGGTGAGGGTGCCCCTGGGACCCCAAAGTGACTGATGTAAGCCTTGAGCTCAGTGGAGCCTTGAGGGTGATGGGGGGTTGGTAACATGGCCTCCTGGGGCCTGAACCACAAAGTGAGAATTTTAGGGGGTTGAAAAATGAGAACTCTCACTCCAGGCCCAGTGGGCAATGTGGGATGTGAGTCCCCTTCGATGCCACTGTCCCTTCTCTCCAGGAGTGTACAGGGAGCCCTCCCTCTTGGCCCAGCCGGGCTCGCTGGTGCTGTCTGGAGACAACCTGACTCTCCAGTGTCTCTCAGAGGCTGGTTTTGACAGATTCGCTCTGACCAAGGACAAGGGGCTCACACACCCCCAGCGTATTCATGGGCAGCACAGCCCCGACTTCTCCCTGGGCCATGTGAACCACACTCACGGGGGCCAGTACAGATGCTACAGTGGACACAACCTCTCCTATGCATGGTCGGCCCCCAGCGCCCCCCTGGACATCCTGATCGTGGGTGAGGAGCCCCATGTCCTGACTGTCTGCTCAGGGCCCTGGAAACAGGGTCAACCCTGGTGGTGATGGGGTCCAGTGAGGATGTCCTGGAGCAGAGGCTGAGATGGGACAGTGGTCTAAGGAGAGGGAGGAAGAAAGGAAGAAAGGGGGAGTGAGAGGCAAAGACATAAAAGAGTCTCATCCAGGGGGACTGAGAGGAGCTGAGAGGGGTCAGAGACAGAGTCCCTGGAGAGAGGACAGTGGAGAGGACAGTGGTCCTTCAGCTCAGGGTCAAGGGCATGTGGGGAGGGGGAGCTCTCTACACATCACAACCTTCCTCTCTCCCAGGAATGTATGATAAACCCTCCCTCTCAGCACAACCAGGGCCCTCAGTGTCCTGGGGAGAGAAAGTGACCCTGCTGTGTCGCTCTGAGATCTGGTTGGATACCTTCCATCTGTCCAAGAATGGGTCACTTGCTCCTTCCCTGCACCTTCATCTGCAGGACATGGCTCCACCCTTTCAGGCCAACTTCACCATCAGTCCTGTGACCTCTGACCACGAGGGGACCTACAGGTGCTACGGTTCAGACAGCACCTCCCCCTACCTGTTGTCACTTCCCAGTGACCCCCTGGAGCTCCTGGTCTCAGGTGATGATCCTCAATCTTGTCCCCTGTCCCTATGATCTAGTTGGGTCCCTGATCTCAAGTATGTCTGAGCTGGGATAGGATAGAGGGGGGCTCTGATGGAGTGTCATCCAGAAAGACATCTGCCCCTCAGAAGCCCTCCCACCCCTGCCCACCCCATTCCCCCTCACCTGGGTCTAGAAGGTGCCAGGGGTGCAGAAGGAAGGTCTTGTGGGAGCCACAGGGCTGATGCAGCAGAAGAGTTTGAGCGAAGTGGGGAATCCAGGGTCAGCCCAACCCCCCGCCCACAGGGCTCATCTCAACAACTGGTGAGTCACTGAAGCCCCTTTGCTCTGAGGAAGCACAGACCACCCAGGCCAGTTCTAAGAGTCTCTCAGAGGATGTGATGCCCCCTCAGATACTCAAGAACCGGCTTGTCTGCCAGGGGAGCTGGGAGTTGGGCAGAGATGTGGGTGGGGACCACAGCACTCCATGGGGCTCTGATGCTGGGTGGATGGCCCTTGGGGAGATCATACAGAGGGAGATGTTGGGGGCCCACCCTGGGTGAGGGGCAGCCTGGATGAAGTGAGGAGAATGGAAGCCCCACCCCCTCACCTCATCCATCCTTGGTTTGTGATATATGGGTGGCATCCACTGGGAGGGGGGTATCAGTGCTCCCTGAGGTGGAGATTTTGGACAGGTCCCTGGTCCCAGAGCTCCTGGTTTCAGGTGAGGAACCCCTGTCCCTGTCCTCTCTGAGCTCTGAAGGCCTTATCTGGGCCCCATCCACATGAAATTCTGAGACACAATGGAATAATCAGAGCACAGAGGAGGTTAGACAGAGGACAGTCCAGTCCATGAGAGGGTGGAAATAGATGGGAACCTCCCATCCTTGGGACACCTCATCCCTGAAGTGTCAGACAGAGCTGAGGATGGGAGAGGGATGGGATGAGACTCAATGAACCTAAGAGGAAATGAGATTACACTAAAGTTACAAGGCAGAGGCCCCACCCACTGACTTTCTTGTGTCTCTGTCTCACAACTACAGCATCACTACTCACCAGGATCCAGGAACAGGGGGAGGTCCCACAGAGACATTCAGGCTAGGAGTCGGGGTGGGAGGGACCCCTGCGAGGTGGGGTTGAATCTATGTGGGCTCAGCTCTCCTGGGAGGTTGAACTTCTGAGAAAGCCTTTCCCCATCTTTATGGGGATACTGACTTAGTGATATTAATTTTATATCCTAACAAAATACTACAGATTGTCCACCTCTCAATTGTTTTTCAATTGATCTCCTCTGATTTACTAATAATAATTATATCAACCTCAAGAAAATTGAAATTTCACTTCATTTTCAGATTATGTACCTATTTTATTTATTTGCATAAAATATCATATGACGATGAAAAGGTAAAATACTAAGATAACTTGAGTGCCACTTTAGGAAAATATTTTAATTTTTAGCTCGAATTATTTTAAAACAAGCACATCCAAAAATCTATATTTTTTGTATATATAATTCTATCGTCCAATCCATGTCAGTTCATTTTTCTGTTACATTCAGGTTTTATTAGGAAAAAATATTCTTTTCTTAGGAGAAATTAGGATTTTTTTTCTGGTCTTTTGTACATCTCCTGAATTCTTTCTCTGTAATTTTAACCATGATGTGATACATTCGAAAGATTTCTTAGTATCAAACATTTGGATATTAATCACACTGAATGATGTTTATTGTTCGTTCACACTTTCTGACTTGTATAAGCTTATTTAGAATTTTTACATGAAGATGTATAGTTAGAATTGATATACAACTTTTTAAATATTTTTTATGTTAAAACTGATCAAAATAGATTTGCAGGATTATCTATTTTTTGCGCTCATGCAATTTTATACTACCACTGATTTTCCACGTTCCTTAAGGCTTTGAAGACCAGAACTGTGGACTTCCTCGGTTCTGAATATAGAATATGGAGAGGGCAGAGGTTATCTTTTTTTTTCATTCATTTATTTAGAGTTTATTGAGTGCCCTTATCTGTTACATGAATTTAATTTCAAAGAATCTGGGAAATTCACGCATTCTTGCAACCCAGTTTCATATCTAGGATTTTAGCGTGAAAAAGTTCAAATATAAAATCAAATGACAGTCTCCTCTCATTGAAATCTTATAGAGCTTTCCAGAGTTCTGAGAGAGAGAGAGAGAGAGAGAGAGAGAGAGAGATAAAGAGAGAGAAGATGATGATGATGATGATGATGGTAATGGTGATGAAGATGATGATGATTTTGATGGTGATGAAGGTGATGGAACCTCCCTCAACTGTCCTGTCCTTTCTGGCCTGTCTTGAATGTACTAAGACCCTGATTCTCAGCCTCTTCTCCTCTGGACCCCCACTACATCCCACAGAAATGATTTCATTCCTCTTTGAAGAACAGATTAAGATCTTTCTGGAGACCTTCTTTTCCTATAGCCTCTGACACACCTTGTCTGGGTCTTCATGTGGCTTTTCTTAGGCTCCTTCTATTTAGGATTCAGCTTAAATGTCATCTCCAAGTGTGACCTTCACTGTGACACTGTTCAGAACTGTCCTGCCTCCTTCTTACCTAATTTATTTCATGTAATTAACACAACATATGCTCTATGTATATATATATGACCAACCCCTCATCAATGGATGCTGGGTCCTCAGTTTTCAAATAAACAGAAGCTTTCATATCTGGAAGAGCTGGCTTACATGGTCCATATCCCAGAATGAAAAGAGGTCATACAAGAAGCTAATTGTTTCTGTATTGGGAGACCATTTTTCTCATCCATCCTGAGTTCTTGGGGACATCCAAACTCTGTTCCAAATGACTCAGAAGCAAAGTCTAAATTTAAAAAAGAAAGAAATGGAAATAATGCAATGATAACAGAGGGAATCCTTTTACAGCAGATAAAGGGTTCATGAAGGGACTGTATAATGTTTATGCTGTGAGAAACAGAGGGAATTATAAGAACACAGGGGAAAGGCTTGAGTTGCATCAAGTCCTCTTCTATCCTCACTTTTTTTTTTGGTTCAGCTGACACTATCAGCCCATCACAAAATAAGTTAGACACCAAGAATAGTGAGCAGGAGAAATTCTCTGTTACGGTATTAGCACAGAGGGCGTTGTCCTGTTAAGGGGAACCAGGTGCCCTGGGTAGACATCCAGGGATCACGGAGTGAGTTCTGTCTGCCCTGACCTCTGTGATCTCTCTGTCCACAATTCCTAGCCTCACATCTCCAAGACTACACAGTGGAGAATCTCATCCGGATGAGCGTGTCTGCCTTCATTCTGCTGGTCCTTGGGATTCTGCTATTTCAGGCTTGTCACAGCACAAGAAGACCCCAAGATACAGCCAGGAGGTAAATGTAAAAGAGAAAAAATGCACCATTCAGAGTGTAGAGTCCTGGGAATAAATCTTGTGTACCCAGGAGGTTCTGGAAGAACATCTAGATCTTATGCTGTGTGAACTGTCTACAGGTCATTGTGAGTTGGAGGAATCATTGTTCATGTGCAAGGGCCATGTCTGGACTTTTCTTCCATTGAACAGTGGAACTTTCCTTCCTGATTACAGTTGAGTTATCTTGACTGGCTCCTGTATTTCCCCATTTCTGTGAAATCAGCATGTATCTCACATGGCAGATTAGGGTCCTCACCTCCTCACACTTTCTTCCTCTGGTACACTTTTATATAATACATTTTTCTTTATTTCTAATTACCACATACCATGATCTCTTTATTAAGATCATGCAATCTGTTTCAATAAATCAATAAATTGGCATAACAAAGGTGCATCCTGAAAGCGATATATAGAAAATGATGTCCTAACACCCTCTCTGGACTCCACAAGCCCTTCATTTTTCATCAGACGCTACCTGTGTAGTTTCTTCAGAAATATCATCATTGGGAATCAAGACATTGCTTTCTGAAGTGATAGCATGGTTCTTACTGCCTCTGAAAAACCCATTGTTAAAAACACTGATTCAAAGCATTCTCCAGTTTCTCTGGTGTCTATACTCCCTTCATGGTCAACTTCAAGGTGCCAACGTGAGGTCCCTGATGCAGAGCTGGGAACTGATGCACAGAATTGACTTTCACAGGACAGTCCAAACCAATAGGAAACTTTGAATTTCACTCTGACAGCCCCAGAATTCACCTAAATTTCCTTGTATTTTATGTGTAATGATCTTTCCTACCTCAAATGTTGTGGCACATCTTCAGTGAAATCACAAGACCAAAATTCCAGAACATCCACATGAGATACAAAGAGAAAAATGGTAGTATCAGTTGTGGGAGAGAATAGTGTTCACATAGAATCCTAATTCATTACTTGTAGGAGTGCAAAGTATATCCATGAATTTAGAGAGTAGATAATACTTATCTAGTTAAAGTAAGAGACACACAGCTGTGGTCTTTGAGTATACACCTTAGAGAAAATGTGTACATATGCACCAGGATCCATTCACAAGGACATTGACAAGGGATTTATTCATATTAACCCAAATCATTTTAAGACTACATTCATCAAGAAAAGCAAGAATTGGGTGTTTTATGTAGAAAATAAAAAATGATACGTCGCTGAAAATACACAAACTAAAATTCCAAATACTCATGTGTGTCCATCTTCAAACATGCCCGTGAATAAATGTGAGAAGATTAAAAAACCGTGTGTTTAGAATTATCCCATTTATGCAAAGTTAAAAAGGAAAAATTATGTATTGTTTAGGAATGTATACCTAAAATAAACTCTACAAATAAAGCAAGGAAAAACATTCAATGAAATCTATGATGGTGGTTACAAATAAGACAATGTTGGATAGTTTTGCTCAAGATGGAAACCACAGAATCCTTTGGAATACTGGCAATGTTCTTCTTGACTTTCATTTGATGACTCATAAGTCACCTGTTAGTGCATTAGACATTGCATTTCTATTCTATAAACTGTCTTTATTTTTCCTGCAACTAACTAGGGTGGAGTTGAAGTAGGGTGCTGAAAGCTATGTCCTACACAGGTGACTAATTCCTAACAAAGTGGCTGTTGATCAGTTATAACAAATATTTCACATTTTGGCATTTCCTCAAAACATGATCTCTCCCACCTGATCAGCCTCACCTGAGTCCAATCAGACAATGAGCCAGTTTCCAGGTGGGAAACTGGGTCTCTGAACAAACACTTTGGCCAGTACCAAACTATAGGCAGTTAAGAATTTAAAGTGGGATCACGTGAGTACCTGAACTCATAATGGCCCAAGAATCTGAACTGGGATGAAGCCCACCAATATGGATCTGAAGGTGACTTCAGCAATGGGGTTTAACCCCATCATGAAGCGTTTTAGTGTCACCTCACTGGGGTTAGTTCCAGAGTGCACTGTACTCAGTATGTCTGGTCTTTTCTTGGACCCACTGAGGGGGAATCAGATGAAGGTCATGGGAGAGAAGCAGCTCCT